ATCGATTTAAACTGACATCAGGAAGATATGGGCTAAATAAAATTCAGCAGTGAAATTTCATAAATTTTTCAGATTTTTTTTCCTAACATTAACTTGGTTTGAAAGATTTTCACTTTTAGATTAGCACAGTTAATGCCTTTTCTTTTCCTTTCCCTGACATCATTGATAAAAAGTGAATTTAATCAATAATATGCAATGAACTGGCCTGCATTTTATTTTCCTCTATTTTGATACATTGGATATATTGCTCAGCTACGGAGTCAGATTTTGTTTACAGATAAAAGCCAAGTCCCACAAGAAAGCAAAATAATCCCAGTTGTTACAAAAATCATTTTGATCAAAAGTTATCAGCTTCTCATAGATTTTAAGTAAATATTGAGAAGATTACTTGATAAGATTACCAGTGTATAGCACAAGACCAAATAGTGACCAGTTGAGAATAGAGAAATGTGATATGTCAAACTTCTAAGCAGGAAAAGGTCTTATTTGTTTTTCAAAATTTCAATTGAAAGCTCCCTTGCTGATCTGGGCCTCAAAATGTTGGGACCCAATGAACAGAAAGATTGTTCAACTATATTTTTTCAGATAAAATTGAGCCACACAAAATTTTAATGTCTGGAGTAGAAATAAATTAGCAGTAGAAATAATGAATAACACATTCATTATTTCTACTGCTAATGTAAGTAGGAAAGATCTTATAAAATCAACATTGAAAAAAAAATACCTTTTATCTGGGCTCTAAATAATGGCCTCAGGTAGAAAACATTAATGTTTCAGCATGAAAGTAGTTAAGTCAGTATTCTTATGGGGAAAAAAAGAATGTTTAAATTTTTAAGTCCAAAGGACCTTACAAAGAAAATAATTCAAAATTCTTAGAAAGTGAAGAGGAAAAAAAGAAATATAGACATCCACATAGAAGGGGAAGAGGGCTTTATCTTGATGTTTCTGTTTGATAGAGTAACACATAATTCCTTTTGAAGTTTGGTCTTTTAACTCTTTAGCATTCAACATGCCGTAAACTCACCAAAGTATACTCTGCTATAAGGTAAGAAGTTATGCAAACAGTGAGACTGTGATCACAAACAGTGAAACTTTGAGAGCTTATGTTTACAGAGTGGGTTTGAGCATGTTGAATGCTAACTGGTTAAGAGAGGCTGGTTGATTCAGATGCTGGATTGAGAGAGGAAAGAAATTTATCAATTACTGGAAGTACTGAATGAAATGAAAAATTACATTTTCCTGTATGAACAAAAGAAAAAATATTACACCAAAATGTAAGACAAAATAACAAACAAATTGTTCTTAAAAGCAACAAAAATATTTCAGAATCTCACAATGAGACTGAGAGCCAATATTTACAGGGTGGGTTTAAGAATGTTGAATCTTAAAGGGCTCAGAAACATTCACTTTGACCATAAGGTAACATAAATAAAGGGGTGGACAATGGATTTTTGCAAGTAGCAACAAAACCGGAAATAGGTTATATTCAGGCACTTGTCTATATTAACAGTCATGCATAGAATCAAGGGAAGACAGATACGTCTGCTTTGTGGTTCTGAGGCATCCTTTTTTTTTGTATTGCCAGCCACCATGAGAAGATAGGTGAGGAAATGGTAGCGGGGAAAGAGCTGACATATCAGAAATTATCTAAAGTATCTCCTACCTATCAACCCACCTGGATGAGCAGACAAATCCCTAAATAAAACTATTACATGCAAAACAGGCTTTTCTTTCATAGTGTTTGCTTGTAAGCATGTGGCACACTCTTCCCCGGTTCTTGGTGAATACCCATGAAATCAAGGATTGAAATGAAATGCAATGTGGGGTGATCATTGGCCAGTCAGAAATCTTGGACAAAAGTCATGCTGCATGTGTACAAAGAAAGGCTGACTTTGTGCAACAAACCATTGTTATAATCTACAATATTATTCTTACATTTACTGTCATTTAATGATTTAACTTGTTTATTTAAATAAAATTCTTTTTTAGCAAAATCTCAACTCCTTTTTTAAAAGTCAATTTGTATGGATCTCTGCCCTGCTGTTTGCTTGATTTTCTTTTTCTTTCTTTTTTTCTTTTTTCTTTTTTTTTTCTACATTAATCATTATTTGCCATGTTTGAAAATTGAGGATTTCTTTCTGTCTGAATTTCTGGGATGAGAAGTGACATTATTTACATGCGAACTATTGTCCCCCTCTTGTTATCACAACCTTTCGAACCCTTTCATCAGGTGATTGAGTAACCTTTAGAAAATTTCAAACTGAACCCTTTCTTTAATCTAAACATTGTTCTCATTCCACTGTCCATGTCCAGAAATATATTGTCTAGTTCTTATTTAATACTATTTATTGTTTGCCTTGTTTTCACCGAGTCCACTGGCCCAGTGATTGAACTCACAATTACTATGTTACCAAATTCACTAAGCTATTGTCTTATGGGTTAATTTTGACTGGAGAACTTAGAGCCTTAAACCTCAACTGCCTGCTGTTGCGTGCTGCTACTGCTTTTCACTGTACTCACTGAAGCTTCACTTTTTTTTTTTTTTTTTACTGCAGCTGCTGCTGCTTTTGAAGCCTTACTGCTACTTCTCTTTCTTTATTTAGAAATAAATACTGTATAGCTAAATAACAGCCAATGCATTGTGATAACAACAGCAAAGATGGGCCCAATAATCTGCATGTAAATAACAAGAACTTTTTATCAATATCTTCTGTTTATAGACAGTGGGTTATTTAATTCTTGATGAGTATCCTTATTTTAATTATTTTGATCATTCTGTTTTGGATGATGCAAATGTCCTTCTTTAGGTGTATGTCATGTATGGTAATATTTGAGTTTTGTCAAGTAGGTAAATATTATTTCTGTCATAATTTCTGGGACGAGGAGTTATCATTATTTACACTATTTACATTTGGACTATTTTCCTCATCTTTGTTGTTGTTGGCACAATGTTTCGGCAGTTGTACCCTCTGGCCTTCTTCAGGTGTATATCAATCTAGGTAACCTACAGATACAGATTGTCAAGGCAATATTTTTCACAAAAGACTTTCATAAAACATGCATTCATTCACAAATGGATATCGTACTCTATAAATTTGTAATGAGTGGAAAGGTTTATTAATTCATATATATAGATTATTGATTTGCTTTCCATCACAACTATTAAAATGCTTATTCTATAAACATCAGTATAAAGTCTTAGCAAGGTTTGAAATCATGTTCCTTTACCCAAAGCCATTTTCATGAGCAATGTGTTAGGAACAAGCTCCTGATAATGGCTAAGATATAAACTGAATATAATCCTCTCAGAATATATAATGTAATAATGACTGATTATCTCTCTGCTATGGTGGCTTGCCAATCTTTGTTGCAGATACCTGCTCTGGCACATTTTTGCTTGTTCAATCCTTGCAGTGTTCACCTGTGGTTTATACTGCAACTATGCTGAGTGAACCTTAGTTACAGTTTTTGGGAGAAAGTACATAATCTGATGTGATCAACATTTTGAACAAGGCCATTACATTAAAACACTCAGTCACAATGACTTGTGATTTTGTGCAATGATTCCAAGCAGTTCCATCTACCCAATTTCACATTTGTATTTGTTCAACACCCACAGAACCTACCTGTGAATTATTCTGCAACTATGCTGAGCAGACCATACTTACAGTTTCTGGGTGAGAGTGCATTGAAGGCCTCTAACAGTTCTATCTACCCAATTTCATTCATAAGACTTGGGTCAATTCATGGTATGGTTATCAAGCACTTTCCAATAGTGCCACATGCTGGGATTTCCTCCCTAATTTGATGACATCAAGGTTACCTTCCTGACTGATTCAAATTTGGGTCTCATTGTCCAAAAGCAAATGTTCTAACCAAGTGGCCCTTTGCACACCCCACAACAATCTTTATAGTATACAGGGATTAACTTTTGAAGAAAGCTTACAAATCAAATTTAAATTTGAATTACCTTAAAATTTAGAAATAAATTCTGTCTGTAAATTGTAAAGGCCAAATGAGCTACCAGAGGTCAACTATGAAATCTAACTTCAAACATCAACTTTATTATAGCCAACGTAGGCAAGAAAACATTTTTATGTTGATTTATAGCTTCAACTGAAGTTTTAACATTGTTTTTACACTAAAAGTATCACTGTGAATAAACTCTTTGTTGGCGCCTTCAGATGGAAATGTATTAGAAAATGCCAAGTATGAGCTAACTTGTAATTGTGTCATAATAAAAACAGCCAATGTGTTAAAGAATTCTACCAGAAATTATGAAATCTGACTTCAAATGCCAACTTTATAATAGCCAACTTAGGCAATAAAAATTTTTTTGAGTTGATTTATAGCTTCAACTGAAATTTTAACATTGTTTTCACACTAAAAAATATTCACTGCGAATAAATATGTTGTTGGCGATGGCAGATGAAAATGTATCAGAAAGTGTCAAGTATGAGATAAGATAGATTTGAATAAACTGAGATAAATAAGGGGAAAAAAAGATACGTAGATTAGAACATAGAAACAATGTGTGTATAGAAATCAATATGGTACAATGATTCAGGATGTGAAATTGACAGTCATTATGCAGTGTTGATTCCTGTACCTACATTATTTATATCTACAAACACACAATATCACATAAATACAGCAAATTCTAACATGTTGACTGCTTGAGGGTCAATTACAAAATCTGACTTCAAATGCCAACTTTATAATAGACAAGTTAGGCAATAAAAAAAATTTGAGTTGGTTTATAGCTTCAACAGAAATTTTAATATTGTTTCCGCACTGAAAGTATCACTGCGAATAAACTCATTGGTGCCCACAGATGAAAATGTATCAGAAAATACCAATCATGAAATAACTTTTAAAATAAAAACTGCCAATCGCAAGTTAACCTGAATACATCTTAAGTCTGTTAATACAGTTGTTGATCCACAAGTGAAAACTGAATCCAATATAAAAGTAGTCAATCTCCTTGTGATCTGAGTCTTATGGTCATATCACATTAAAACATCAGTTCTTATTTGATCACCAAAGTTAAGCAAAATCATGCCTGGTCAGTACCTAGATGGGTAACCACTTGGTAATACTAAGTGCTGTAAGCTTGAATGTGTGGGTGGTGGGATGGAAAATGGTTTGAAATTTGAGAGCTGAGTTCCAATTCCAGTCAGGTTCATTATATTCACTTATGTACAAATAACCTTGAGAAAGATATGAATCCAACTTTTCTCCCCCCCCCCCAGCTATGGGTTAATTGGTAGGACTTGTATCAGTAAATCATTATTATCTCCAAATAATTTTTTACAATCTAAAAATATTTAAATAACCTGCAAAAAGGTTGATAAGCTGTGAAAAAAAAATAAAAATCAATCTTGAATTCTGAATACGTCTTAAGTCTGTTTTTAAACCCTGTCATCTTTTTACATTTTTGAATCTCTTCATAATGAAGCTGTTACCAAACTGGATGAAAACAGTTTACATGTTTATAACAGGTGGCTGTATATTCTTGTTTTTTATATATATATATATATATATATATATATATATATATATTCAACACAAACCTTTGGCATTGGAAGTTAATTTTCTTTATGTAAGTTAGTATGATCTGTATTCTTTTTGGCCTTCATTAATTGACAATTTTCCTTGGAAGCAAAATCTTATTTTTAGAAATGAATACAGTGACACCCCCCCAACCCCCCGCCCACCTGTTTATGTCAGTAGAACCACTTGAGGTAAATGTATAATTTTAGTATGTGGAAATAGCAATTATTTTCTTCTGGGATTGGTGTTGACACATTTTACTTGAGAGCAGTGATTTTTTTTTTTTTTTCAGTCTCAAAACCAAACAAGATTATTCCAAGATTTTCAGAAATAGCCAGGTATTTCTGTTGTACTAAAAGTATATTGAGAAATAGAAAAGCAATTCTGTTATGTAAAAATAATCGTATTTCCTTTGGAGCTGGTTGTTGATGCTTTTTGCATCACTGAATATCTTCTGAAATGGCAGGCAAGTATCATTAATTTCAGCTGTTGTATTTCTGAAAAAAAAAAAAAACAATTTTGGTCTTTCTTCTGTGATAATAGAATATATGAAGATAAAAATAAATGTCAGACATAACAAAAACTGAATTCCTTTGAAAATTGATTGATCAATTCATTCATCCATTTTCTATGGTTTACCAACCTATTACAGGTTATATAAAGCCAGAGAATATTTTTAGATTGTAAGAATATTTTTATTTTTTTTTTTTTTTTGAGATAAGTTTAGCAATACAAGTCTTACTAATTAATCCATAGCTGGGGGAGATGAGGTGGATCTTTCCTAAGGGTATTTGTGCATAAGTGAATATAATGAACCCAACTGGAATTGGAACTCGGCTTTCAAATTAACAATTCTGAATCATTATTCATTACCCTACCCACACATCCAAGCTTACAGCACCTGGTATTCCCAAGTAGTCACTCATTTACCAGGCTTGACAGTGCTTAACTTGGCTGATTGTATAGGAACTGGTGTTTCAATGTGAAGTGACTGTAAGTCTTGAAAATTGGATTATCAACTGAAATGACAAGTGATTCTATTTCTTGAATTTATTTTCATCACATTACATTATTAGAAATTCTTTCATAAGAAGCTGATAAAAGCTGTAAAGGTTTTGGATTAGTCTAGTTCCCTCCTACTGAAAAAGTTTCTGTGAATGTGATTGGAGATACCAAACTCATACAAGTGCAACAATTTAAATATCTAGGAATTGTTTTAACAGAGAAAGGAAAGTGAAACACTTATATTTAACATGTATTGGGATAGCAAAAGATGCTTTTCAAAAGCTAAGCAAAGTATTAAGGAAAATTTTATTATAAACAAAGAAAAGATTACTGAAATGTTACATAATATCAGTTCTTATATATGACAGTGAATGCTGGACAATCTTTGCACAAATGAAAAAAGAATTTGAGACAATAGAAATATTGTTCTACAGAAGGATATTGAGAATAACATGAACTGAACAGTGACAAAGTTTTAGAGAAAATGGAAACAAAAAGGATACTTAACATCAGAAAGAACCAGTTGAAATTTCTATCTACAAAAGACAGGAAATTGTGGAGAACCATGATCACCTTCATCCTGAAGGGACACAGCATACAGAAGAATGGTGTGGTTCAGGTTCACTCTAAAGTTTAAAAAAAAAAAAGAGAAAGAAAACAGGATTTATACTTCACTCTTTCCTTCACTCTCACTTACATCTGTGTGTGTGTGTATGTGTGTGTATGCATGCACATGCTAAAAGTTCTCAGCACAACTAAGAATCCCTTCCTTCAAAATTTAACTGTTTAGTCATTTGGTAAGATATTTGGAAGTGGGTAGAGCCAAGAGTTTTTTCATCATTCCCTGTACATAGATACCCAAGTATATTCAGGCTTGAAAGATTTTTCCAAAAATCACTGCTGAGCTGAACTAGCCATGTATTCAGGCTTGAAAGATTTTTCCAAAAATCACTGCTGAGCTGTATTCAAGTTAAGATATTAATGATGATGGTGAGTAACACTTCAAATACCTCAGCGCATGGATCAGTTATAAAAATTTAGTATAGGAAATTGAACATAGAATAGGCTGTGCTAGGGATAGTTTTGTCCAACACTCCAAATTGTTACAAAACTAAAACATTAACCTAAAAACAAGAGTCATTTTAAATAGCCTTGTCAGATTGAGACTTTCATATGGATGTCATACATAGCACCAAGCTTGTACAGAAATAGCTGAACCGTTAAATGTATACAACCATTTTCTCAGAACAGTGGTTAAAAATAGCTTTGAATGAATAAAGCATGTAGGTCTTGGTGAGGACCATCCTTCTTTGAACCTTGTGGACTGGTGCTACAGAATCACAAACAAAAACTGTATGAGATAACAGAAACCATATCACTTGATGACTTTCAGCAACTAAAATGGACAGCTCCTGTAAGATGTTTTAATTGAAAGATTTTATAAATGTCAACCAAAAGTAACACTGGCTGCTCAGTCAATAAATGCCAAATGTTTCTTTGTAAGGAAATTGCTAATATTACCATCACCAAATGTTTCCTTGTAAGGAAATGGCTAATATTACCATCACCAAACAGGAAACAGTTGTCATTCATTGACTGAACAGTTAGCATTACTTTCAGTTGAAATTTATAAAATATTTCCCTTAAAACAGATTTTCAGGAAAATAAACTTCTCAAGTCTACTGTTATTGTTCTTTCTAGTGTTGATGGAAGTTTCCTTCCTCACCGTTTGTTTAACATAGTAAGAAAGACCACAGATTTCCAAAACTGACTGCTCAGTGAGCTGGCCTCCAATCATGGCAACAGAGATTCACTGCAAAGGAAATACAAAAATTCCAAAAAGTAAATCTCGTCTCCTGTCCAATAGAAATGGGTGACAGGCCAGAAACGGACAGGCCTTCTTGGCACTACAAGATTTTCCATTTCCTTAAATGAATCACTCTTTAAACTCTGGACAGATGAGAGAAGGCTGTATTGAAAAACAAGCATTTTTTTTCTTCCACCAGTAAACTTACTGCAGAAAAACATGTCTGTCTTTTGCAGTTGTTGCCAATTATCAGCAAGCCTGTGACAGACATGAAACCCTCACCTCATTGAGTAACTCTCTAGCTTGAGTTGCTCTTAGGCATTGTATTGGGGGATCTGTTTTACACACAGTTTTTATATATGTATATTTAAGTTTTAACAATTGTGATATTCATTCTATCTTATTCTATTTGTATTTTTATTTTGTTTCGGGTATTAACACTTTTGATGAGAAGTTCCTGGTACATTTGACCGCTAACAATTTTGGTGAACTCCTGTAAATCCAAAGGAATAAGAAGACATAGGATTTGAACAAAGAAATATTAACAAATATATTGTCAGGACATTTTACAAAAGAAAAGATGAGAAATTAAATAAAATGTGAAAAGTTCAAAGCAACTTTAAATGTCTATAGTTGATTACTCTCATTTTGAAGGAGCAAAAAGAATTTCTTTTCACTATGAAAAGTCACCAAGAAAGAAATCGGGTGTTTCAAATCTCACACCATTTGTAAATCATCAGGGGGCAAAACCAAAACAGAACAAACCCTGTCTCTATATATGGAGAATATAATACCTTATAGAAATCTTTAAATTTAAGTGTTATTTTTTTAAAATACTTTTGGATTGGACTTGATTTTGGATTTCTTCCTTCAGGTCTAAAATTGTTCTCCCCCCTAAATTAGGATTATTTTTTTTTCCATTTTAAAAATGTAGGGTTTTTTCTAATTAAAAAAGGAAAGGACTTTTCTTTTTTTTTTATGATGGTTTCTTGTTTTAGCACTGACTAAAGTTGCTTTTGTGTCACAGATTTTTAAGAAAACAATCTTCAGAATTGATTTCTTACATTTGTTTGTACACTTTACATTTGATATAAAATCATCCACAGATAATGGGTTGAAGATGTCATTATTGATTTTTATTTAAATGTACTGTAACAGGGATATGAGTGGCCAGACCTATACTGTAACAGATTGCCTATTGAAATATATATATATATATAGGGATTTACTGAGCATAGTAAAACTACTCAGTTGTAATTGATCTAGCAACTATGTTACATCCTATATATACACACACACATACACACATATATAACCTTACATCGAAAGTATGACTTCATAGTATGAGTTTCATGTTCAATACAATCTTCAGGTACTTAAAATGGTGATGAACTGTTCATTATGATTGTTCGTATTTAAAAAAAATTGGGGGTCACATGAAAGCAACGTTATATAGTATATTAATTCTACATTTAATAATTATATAATTAGAATCTAATATTGAGATATAGATCTGGATTCAAGTTACAAAATTATAGGGTGAAGAAATAAATAAAAAATAAAAAAATATATATGTGTGTGTGTATGCATATGTGTAAATTGGTTGGCTACTCAATCCCGAGTACAATCATTTGTTTGGGTGATTAGCCACTTCCCGTTGCAGGTGCATGCTCAGGCACATTTGTGTTTGCATGACACCCATAGAGCCCACCTGTAGTTCATACTGCAACTATACTGAGTGAACCTT